ACGTGCGTGCGTGTGTGTGCGTGCGTGCGCGCGTGTTTGTGTATTCGTGCGCGCGTGTGTGTGTATGCGTGCGCCTGCGCTGCGCATACCAGCCAGTACACAATCTGGCTACGTTATATATAGTGTGTTAGCGCATGCGCAATATCTCACCAGAGGAGTTATATTTTGTGATGAATATTCATTTAAAATGGTTAGGGGGTATCTCCGCATAGATTTCCCTAATAAACTTTTATCAGTTGACATGTGTTTATAATTAGGAGAGTGCCCTATTATGTAGGGTACAACACACCTACTTTATGCCCTCGCGTCCTTCCCCTTGCCTCCCCTGTCTCTCGCTCAGCGTCCTTCTTCTACCGCCCCCAGCTATCTTCCCTGCCGCTTTTCCTCAGTCTCCCATCCCCTCTCCCCCGCAGGAAGCTATATTATGAAGTTTGCCTCGGACGGCACTGCACGTCTAACACGGTGCGTATTTTGCAAAGATTATGCATTTAAAATGAAGAGGAGTTATCCTAGCATAGATTTCTATGATAACATTCCATCAGTAGACATTATTTAGGAAATAGGAGAAAGACCTTGCATAAAGCCACACTTGGATGTGGATATCTGTCGCCTGCATCGTAGGCCTACAAGTTCCAATGCGGAAGAGAAAGAAAGATAATATTATGTTTATTATATGTTATAATGTTATAATAATATGTTATATGTTATAATAATTATGTTTATCATGATAATATAAAAATTTTGGCAAAAACAAGCCATTGAACACACGTTTATAAAAAAAATCTTTGCCGTATCGTACAAGTTTTTTATTATTAATCATAATGTTACATTTATAACAAGCTAAAGCACCGGAAATACGAAAATAAATGTGGTTTAGCACAGCGATTATAATGCATTTATATTGCCCGAGCTCGAACGGCGCGTGTACATACAATGCGACACCAACGCAACAGTCCCAATACTAGAACATGTTATAATATGTTATCAGGAGTGAATAATAATAGATCTATTATAATAATAATAATAATAATAATAATAATAATAATAATAAT